TTCGCTTGTATTACAGTTCCCATTCAAGCAATACACTTCGCAGTCGTCATCGCTTTTGGCAAGAAGTTCGTTAGATGATCTCTGTGTTGCCCTGAAAACACGTATCAAGTTTGCAGCCGATGATGGATATCGCTCCAGCAAAGGATCGAGCACCAGGGTTCGTACAGGTACTTGAAATCCTTGAAAATTTTTGAATTTGAAAAATGCACTTTCAAGGCCCTTGAAAGTCCTGGAATTTTTTGCCATCTTTGAAAATCCTTGAATTACCTGAGCAGTGCACTCTCATATCGTCATTGTGACCTCCTAAATGTGGTACATCCGTGTGTGAACCTGTGTGCGAACTCCCCATTTCTGAAGCAGTAATGCGGCGTGGGTGCACATTATCCCATCTTTCAAAAGTGCATGTGGAAAAAAAAGTTAGTTTGTAGCGAGGGTAAGCAGTGAATGTGCTAGCAAGAAAGCAGAATGTCTCACGAAGGCCAAGCAACCCCATACATGCAACACGCCGCTCAAGCACGAAAGACGCACGAAAAGAAAGCGAACAGGACGAGTGCTGATGAAGGACTATCATAGCTCCGACACTGGAAGCGTGCTGCTAAAACAAACCAAGAACTTTGCTAGAAAAGAACGCACATGTATCCATGGAATGAGTGTAAATTAACCGCTGTCACGGTTCTTACTTCTTGGTTGTTTAAGAGGAACGTGCTGTGAGTGTCAACTGTGCACAAGCCGGCACACTTGATTGGGCGATGTCATGAAATTTCAAGGCTATAGAAAGCACCTTGTGGGTTTAAGAATACATTTTAAGTTACTTCCCAAGTGTACCTAAATGCTCATTCTCCTAATCGAGGCCCATAGCGAGCGCGTCCAACATTGACGTAACTCTACAGGAAGGGCAACAAAGGTTTTAGTGACGTCACACCAGATCTGTAGTCAGCTGAGTGACTTACGGACAACTGCCCCGTACATACCGGCAAAGCATCCCGGCTGCTGCAGGTAGCGGCGAGTTTGCTTTGCAGGTGCTTGTGTGGTACATGTGTGCAAGGCTGACAATACTCAGCATGACACGTGCAAAGTGATTACGTGACTAAGTCAGCTACACTGCTATGTACACAACTCGGTCCCCAAAAACAGGAACTTAAAATTGTCACCATATCAAAAAGGCGACAAACTTTATAGTAGCGAGAATCAATGAATCTTGGTACGTGTATCATACTTATTAGAGTTATAATTAAAGCCTGCAGTAAAGAACAAGCAAGCCACAAATATTGTTTCATGACCCCTTTAAGGCCCGACTACAAATGCGCGTGGAAGCCCATCAGCGCGTAACTTTCCGACATGACATCGTGCCCTCTCCCTATGGAGAGGGTGCGAGAAGTTATTAAGACTATGCTTTTTTTTTATATAATTGCGATATCCATTGTATCCATTATAAGTGCAATGAAATGGGTCATTTTTTAAAATTTTAGAGGAAAGAATTCCAACTTAGCATGCTGCTTTGAGTCCTTGAAAATGTTGCAACAGGTCCCCTGGAAAGTCCTTGAATATCCTTGAATTTTCCTTTTGGCCGCTGATCGGCCCATCAGTCATGCAGAAAGCTTGTTATGATGCACTATTGCTGTATTTAAAGCACTGCTAAACTACCAGGTGTTCTTTAATACACACTGAACTCGCTAACGCTTTGAACTACACATCAGAAGAGCGCAGTATTTGCCATTCTGTTGAACTTCTTTGATGGTTGAGTGTGATATCCTTTGAGAACACATGAAATATCCAAGTCTTTATGCTCCAGGCTTCTCTTAAGCATCCCAGCATGCCGCGCCTGAACCCAACCATCACTATTGCACTGTATGGGCGTTGTTCCCCAGTTGTCTTATCAAAAATAAGAGATGTAGAATACGAATTCTGTTTAGTTGCATGATTTGGTGCAGCCAATGTTGTGTCAACAACATTTTACGTGTGCAAGAAAAAGACCCTATTTCCTCAATCTCTCTCCCAGGTCCCTGCTGATGTGGAGGACAGGGCGCTCCCTTTGAGTCCTAATTTCCTAATCTGCTCTGTAAATGTTCATCTTTAAGAACGCCATAAACCTCGGATGCTAGTAACTCTTCATCCCCTGTTTTTTCAGACTTTCTGCGCAAGTCGCAGGTCCTAAATGGCAATAATTGAAGCTCCACACCTGCCACGTCTAGTATCATCTTGTTGATTTGAACCAGCACTTCGGCAAGATTGTTTGTAGGCGTAGTAGACTTCTAAAAGCAATCTTTGCCACAATGCTAGTGTGTCATGGGGTGAAGCAGACTTAAAATCCAAAGGGGCCCCAGTCATTGTGCAGTGCAGTGATGTCGTTACAGATAAGCACAGGAAATGCACAAAAGTGTGATGGCAGTAGGCAGGCAGACGTGCCACTACAACTTCATCACTGACCATCCTTTATGACGTATGATGTATGTATGTATGCAGCTTGCCATCGTCACACGTGTGTGCAATCAGTAACGGAGTGAGCATCACAATCACTTTCATGACAAATGCGTGCACTTGGTACAGCAAGCGCCCCTATCTGACAGCATCAGTTTCATTGCCAATGTGCTGCACTGCACTAGGAACACTCCGTTTTACACAGCAGTTTCATTGCCAATGTGCTGCACTGCACTAGGAACACTCCGTTTTACACAGCAGCAAATTGTGCGTGTGGCTGGACATTCGGTGAGGGGCATGCACAGTGTTTATGTGCGCACACATATTGAGAAAGCCGGATGGGTCGTCTGCTGTTCCGCCAGTCTTTTTCTGTTCTGCGCCATGTTTTCCATATGCTTAATGTGAGAGAGCTACATTCTACTTCATGGCTTGCTGATATCAATGGCACTCATCGCGAGACTCAAATTTGCGATTGGCGGGTGGCACGTAGTTAAGCGCGGTTCGTGGCTGGTACTGAGTGTAGTAACAAGAGCCTGGGCGCGCATCAAAATGCCTGATAAGTTTAATGAAAGGCACTACTACGACTTCGGACGTTGCTGTGGCAATTTCACTGTTTCAGCAGTATAACAAAAAATGCATGAAATAGTTTTTCTGACTGCCTAATTTTTCGGACGATTTCGTGGTCTCTAGGGATTTCCAAAATTTGAATGTTGGCTGTATTTACAATCTTTCAGAAGTTACAATACTTCAAATAGTCATATTTCGGTGTAAATTGAATCAAATAGCAGGCACTATTAAAAATTATTTGAAAATCATGATTTCGGGGTATTTTACCGACCACTATTTTGTCTAAAAAATGAGCCATAGGTCGCATTTGTCATCAACAGAAGCAAGTACTTGTTCTCTTCTGTTGTGCTAGATGTTTGTGCTACCGGTGCGAGCATATTTATACAGTTGAAGTCCTTTATAAAAGACACTGATGCGAGAGAAAAACTGGTATAAGAGACACTAATGTGCCTACATTGAAACAGGTGGTGGTCAAAAATGCATATGTGGTACCCTGTTTATTAGAGGCATCTCATATAAAAGACAATAATTTCTTTTGGTGCATGCCTTTTGTAAAGGAAGTTCAACCGTATGCTGTAGCAAAAAAACAAAAAACAAACTGCAATATTCCTGGCCACCATCTTCTGTATAACGGCAGACAGATATGCATCGTGTGTCATGGTTGTGCAGCCATCTCGTAAGCCTTTTTTTTTTTGTAATATTCATGATTGGTTATAATTGTGATACTTTTCATCTTTTGCCTTTGAGTTGGATGGCAGCATATGTGAAGCTTCGATGTTTTACCACACACCACAACCATAATTTTTGATATGATAGACTTCAGGTATAACCGACTTTTCCTCACGTCATTACTGCAGGTCTGTGTAACAAGCATCGACTATGAAACTTTTTTACTTCATCCAAGAGTTGAAATCAGAGTTGCCCGATCCTACCGAGCTAACAAGCAAGTAATCATCACTAAAGAAGCCCAAATAAAGTGAAAACTCAATGAATTTTGCCATTATTGAAAGCACAATTAATTATGGTAAAACATGATGCTCAAGTACGAGGGGGAGTTGAAAAATCACTGTAATTAACTTATAAAGGGGTTATATGTGCAACCATAAAGGAATGTACATATTTACTTAACATTGTCTCCGGGGTAGGCTTCATCCAGTTGAATGTGCGTTTACCATTGTGGGCCCTTTGCGATGCACCACGCTCTGGAAACGAATGGCACAGCAGACGTGGTTGGGCAAACCAAACATGTCTACTTTTCTTCAGCTGCATTTACAAATGAAGATATCGCTAGCTGAATGAAATACGTTACTAGTGACTTGTGAAAAAAAACATACATTATTCTAATACACTCGATCAACATAATGAACAAAAGCAAAGTAACGTAAAGGTGGTTTTGATGTTTGACTGACCACGAGGGGTCCATGGGAGACGACTCGCAGCGCCCTCCCCATGGACCCACTGTGGGAGACATTGATTTGTGCTAGCTGCCGCACGTCAAAGAGAGTCCCAGATGTTTTCTGTGCGGTTACCTCTCCTCGTCGCTGGGCGGCACTGCTGGCATTACTGAGCTAATCATAATGATAATAACGGTGAACCCGCACAAGTTGTGCGCCACCTACCACTCGGCACCTGTAAAACCTAAATGTGGTATATCCGCGAGACACGTGTGCGCCACGAGGCGGAAATGACTACAGAGAGTTATAACATCCCCACACCATGCATAAATAATAATAACTTCTCTTCTTCTAACATACATATGTATGACCTAAATACTCAGCTGCACAAAGCCATTGGCAAAGGCACTATTAGTGAATAACAAACATGCTGTTAGCGACTGGGCAGAAAAAGAAGCCCTAATCCGCTTATTCTAAGCGGAGGCAACTCTGGTTGGAATGCCCAAGTCAGCACATTTGTCTCGTCTCACTCCGTGATGCGTGTAGGTAAGCTGCTGTTTCAGGCATGTTATCCTGCACGCATGCTACACTGTGGAAATGTTTGTACTTGCTTCTCTGCAGATAACAATCGCAACCACCACCATTACCGTGACAGCTTGAGACATGGCCATGGATTTTCCTCGATGAATAATGACCGTGTGCACTCCAGGCAGCCGAGAGACTCGTATCACCAAGAAGAATGCAATCAAAAACAGAATGACCACTACAATGTAAAGGAAGGAAAACGCATGGAGGACTCATTGCTTTACATAGCAATGCAGCTACAGACCAACGAAACGTCCACGGAATTGTCTGGTGAGTTCCTATTCTTCAGCCCCACTATTGCTCGGTGCACTACTGTACAACTCCTATTATGCATTTTTCCTGGGACTGTAAAAAGAACACACAGCTGGGAAACAAAACATGAACATGTAAGTAAATTCCAGAAATTGTGCTAGTACACAGCTCCACCTCAGAATAATTTATATATCAGTTTCTAGCTTGAGTACATTCTTGATAGAAGTCTTCTGCATTTCTTTTGCACCTATGCCAGAATTAGACCCTGCTCGAGCACTTAGATGGCCTTGTGGCACTGAAATTGCCAAGCCAGTGCTTCCTGTACTTTTTTCAATGCCAGTTAGTACACTCGATTTAACCGTTCACCACCCTCTCCTATCGTCCTTTTACTCTTCTTTGACAGCTCTTATTACACCTGCTAAAAGTTGGCAGGGGAGAGTACACGTTACGTGCTTCCTAACGGCAAAAAGTCAGTGGAGGGTGTTTTCCCCCCCTTCTCAGTGGTGTTTTTATTCAGAAAACGGTGTCATGCGTTCCTCATGAATAGCGAATAACTAACGTTATCATGTATGGATAATTGTTTAGAAGGATATGGCATCATGGTTCAAAAACATGTTGATTAATCGCAACAGAAGAGAAAAGAATACGAGTACCATTTAGCAAAATAACAAAACTTTATTCCTTGTGATTCACGATGTAAGTGCTGTTCTAAACACACTGACTTGATGCGTGGTAATGCTTAGCAGCGAGAGGAGAAACGTCCGCATTAACGTTTTTGTGCGGGACCCGCCTCTGTGGTCTAGTGGCTAAGGTGCGCGGCTCTTGACCCGCAGGTTGGGGGATCGAATCCCAGCTGTGGCGGCTGCATTTTTGATGGAGGCGAGAATCCTGTAGGCCCGTGTGCCTATTAGATTTGGGTGCATGTTAAAGAACCCCAGGTGCTTGAAATTTCCGTAGCTCTCCACCACGGCTTCGTTCATTCTCAAATGGTGGTTTTGGGACGTTAAACCCCAACAATTATCATTATTCTTTTACTAGAATTTTCTCTTTTTGCGAAATGTTGTAGGCCCGTGTGCTCAGATTTGGGTGCATGTTGAAGAACGAAGGTGGTCAAAATTTCCGGAGCCCTTCACTATGACGTCTCTCATCATATGGTGGTTTTGGGACGTTAAACCCCACATATCAATCAATAATTCTCTTCTCTTTCTTTCTCTCTTCCCTCTATGTTTTTATCCTTGTTTCACCCTCCTCACCCTCACTTCCCATTCCCATCCGATCGCTAAACTATACCATAGAAGGCAATGCTACGCTCTTTTAGCGCATGCTCATGTTGCAGAGAAACAAGAAGCCGATAAGTTCCTTAACATCCCACTTCATTGGGATGGTCACTCATTCAAGAGATGTATTTGAGCAAATATGAAGTCAGCGTGAATGTTATTTGCAGTGGCGAGTTGTTTATCCTTACCGCTGTTGTAGTGTGTCACTGGTAATGGCCGTTACCTAATGTATTCGCTCTGTGAATGCAAATTTTTTACTGCTATGCATTCGTCGTTGAGTCGTGATACGAGCACAATGGACACATTAGTTTTCAATCTGTAATTAATTGCTGTAAACTGTCATGTTTATGTTGTATAATAATAGTAAAAAAAAATAAGTGGAAAGCAGAGTGGTTAGGATGCTCACCTTCGGATCGTGGATAGATGGTCTAGAATCTAGCGTCCCTGAAATTTTTCTTCTCACCTAGAACTTTTCTTTGTCACTTATTCTGTGTCTCTTTCTTTCGTTCTCTTTGTGCTCATTCTCTCCCCCATGACGCGCCAGACAGACCGGGGCACGTGTTCTGGGAGCGAAGCAGAAGAAAACAAGGACAAAAAGAGCACGCTCAGGTTCATGATGGTCTTTTTTTTTTTTTTTTTTCTAAGACCGGCGGCAAACCTTGAGCATAACAGCTGCACTGTAGAAAATCAACCGTTTTTCTCGCATGTGGTCGGTCAGCTTTTTTACCTACCTGGTGCTAAAGTGACCCTGCGCTGGCGCCTTAATGTGAAAGCCAGGATGCATCGTAGTCACGTGATAGGCGAGTGACACATTTTGGCTCCCGAGCACTTGCCTATTCGCACTGTTGTGGATGATGAGCTTTGTGCGTGTGCCTGTTGAATGCCGTGTAACGTTTACAAAAGGAACACCATTCCCGCTACCGTTTCCTAATAAACGTAATGAGTTACCGTTACAGCTCCACCTATCGTAAATTAAATGGTGGCGTGTTCTGTTCCTCTAAAAAGGAACTACTATTTCCGTACAACACTGCATTGAGGTCATCTATGCTAAGCGATTGTAAAACTAACTTTTATCCATGGCCTGCCAGCAAGTCATCCAAATGAGGTGGCTACAGTAAATATACAGTAAAATACCACTTGTACGAAATGTTACTGGGCCCAGTGCTAACACATTTCAGTTTAATGATAATAGTGTAGAGAATATTTGAGTCGTATGAACTCATTGTGTGACACCATCCATTGCCTCTCACGACATATTGATCAGAAGTTGTCGGAAGGACCGGGCACAGACAGTGCTTTGTGTACTTGGGAAAAGTGAAGGCCCTCACTGCCCAGCAGCATGTTGTGCTGGAGAAGGTTTATGAGAGAGAGCAGGTTGATGAGGAGGTTTATGGAGGAGAAGGTTGATTCACGACCACTGCAGTCATTAGTGTACAACTGCTTCAAAAGATACATTTTTCAAAACATTTTAAATAAGCAGAAATTCGCAACATTCAAATAAGCAGCATTCCAAATAAAAGGGTTCGAATTTTATTTAAACAACCAATGTTTTCTTTAGCTCCTGATAAGTTGCAGCATAGCTACTTCAGTTCAGTGAATGTTCACTTAAACCAACTTTTTCCTGGTGTCCCTTGAGATGCGAAGGTGCGCATTCTAGGGTTTTTTTTTTTCCCTTTGCATTGCTGGCCAACTCAAACAGGTGACATAAACATGAAGGTAATTATGTATCGTTGAAGTCTTGGATTATGACCAGCACACTGGTGTAGCGGAAATGTTGTAGTGGTGTAGTGGAGATAGCATGTTGCATCAGCAAGAAGTGCATGCTGACTGTGGTGTTTGTCTTTTGCAGATCCCGCAAGGGACCCAGCTCGGAAGAGCAATGTGGGTGAATCCAAAAAGCTAAATGCCAGTTCCGAGCCTACTGAATCTACACAAGAAGAGCCTGCCACCTCGGCTTTCCAAGATCACTGCCCTGTATCTGATGGAAACAATGAAGACTCTAAGGCAGATAGAGACGCTACAGACGAGTCACACCTGCAAGGAGAGCCTGCCACCTTAACTCTCCAAGATCACTGCCCTGTATCGGATGGAAACAATGAAGACTCTAAGGCAGATAGAGACGCTACAGATGAGTCACACCTGCAAGAAGAGCCGGCCACTTCAGCTCTCCAAGATCACTGCCCTGTAGCCAATGGAAACAAGGGCGACTCAAAGGCAGATAGAGACGCTACAGACGAGTCACACCTGCAAGAAGACCCTGCCACCTCAGCTCTCCAAGATCACTGCCCTGTAGCCAATGGAAACAAGGAGGACTCAAAGGCAGATAGAGACGCTACGGACGAGCCACAACCGGACACCAGTTCCTGCAGCTTCGAGCTTGATGTTCGCTTCCCTGCACCTCGATGTAGTAGTATGGGAAATGGCGGGGATGCTTTCCGGCAGATGCTGTCCCAGCACTGTAGTGGCAACGGGCGTCCATGCAACATTCCTTCTGCCAACCATGATAGCGGGCACCATGTTGAAGTTCTAACAGCTAAGCATTCTAGTGATAACGTGCTAGCTTTGCCGGAGACACTAGTGGAGCATTGTAATGGAAGCGCCCGCAGATTTGACACCATGCAGCATAAGTCATTGGTCCAAGTGAGCAGCCAGTCTTCATCACCCCCTCATGTGGAACGCCAGCAGGGTGTGTTCACTGAAAGCAGGCCAGTTCCCGGGTGGAACCACAATTTCAGCCCCAATACGGAACCTGCTGTTGATAAGGAAAGAGCACCGAAGTCCCCAAGTTCAGAGGGCAAATCGGCCAGTGAATGAAAACAAAAAAAAGGCACCTCTTTTAGGCCGGTAGATATGATAGTCACAAAGTATCCTGGTTAAATTGAGGCTATCTTTCTAATGCACTGCACTACTAGTCTGAAATGGATTTTGTAATCAACTGCATTGTTCTTTGTTTTACTATCATTGAGCCACAACAGTGATCATGTTGGTTTTACAACTCTAATGAACAGTACTTTTACGGTATTCATTTTTTTTTTTGCCTCGAGAAATTGTCCATCCTCAAATATTTTTGTGTCATTGTACTGTGGCATCATTCACTTAATTTATAGTATAATCATGTCCATTTGTTATGACATTCATCATCATGCATTATGTCTGTATAGGAGTGGTCACACCGAATAATTTACTAAATTACAAGAAAAAATAAGAATTTGTTTTCCAGAGTGATTGGTAAGCATGCCTTGTTTCTATTTCAATTCAATAATTGCAGTTTCCAGATAGGTTGAATGAAGGTGTTCTCCCCAGAGAGCTTTGGTCGATGAGCCATCTTGTCAGCTCAACGTAAATCCACAGGCAAGTAAGTCGTTCATTCCGCAATCCACACTTACAGGCTCTCCTGCACCCATGGGTTTCCAAGAAGTTTGTAACGCAATGCATGTTAACCATGCGTACAGGCTAACATCTGTACGCAGGCGTGTTGGACAGCTTAGACATGAGTGAAACATTGCAAGTAGTAGCTCCACTATATGCCCAGATGTCCACTCCACGTCAGATGCGAGCCGGTTTCACTCATAGATTTGGTCCTCCACAAGACAGCATTCTTTCATTAACATCAAGAAGTAAATGATTTAGCATAACACGCAAGAACTTCAGGGGTGCCAAATTGTTTTTTTTTTTTTATTTCTCAAGGTTGTGTTTTTTTCTCTTATGTACACTAAAGAAGGCTGGCTGCAAATTTAATGTTACTACTATTTGTATTTGTAAATAAGCTAGCAGTTCTTCTCATTCACTGGTGAAGATTGCACCTCCGTCAGAACATGAAAATAAACAAAAAGAAGTAGTCACGCACCACTGAGCGTACTAAGTAGTTCGTACAGTTCAACACAAATCCACATTTGAGGGCTTGTGCGATTCAAAGTCTCTCCTCAAAAACTTTCAACTTTTTCTTTACCTATATACAAAACTTGTAAACCAAGGACGACCTTGCTGTCATCTTTGTCAAGTGCCTCATCCAACAACAAAACTCTACTGAGTTGATTAACAGATATTGCATACATCAACACTGAAACAGAAAATCTTGTCTTGCTAAATAAACGTCATTGCATTTGCTGAATTGTCCAATTACTGACGCTATCCAACATGGCATCCTACTTTACAGCATAATTCACAACATTGCCTAGTTCCTTCTTACCATGGCTGCAGTCTAGGAACTCAGAAACCACTGCCTGTTCCACTATGCTTCCTAAAACGGTACAAGCTACAAATCAACACATTAGTGAAAAAAATGGGCGGGGTAGGGGTGGGGGCGGCTGCCTGCTACTGTTGGTCCTGGCTTGCCCATCAGGTCGCTTTGACTTGGAAGCGGCAGCTCCTACCAACACTGCTCTCTAAAATATGCGTTTTGAGCATTACCACATTCACAAGCTCTGGGTCATGCGGGGGATGATATTCACAAAGCCATAGTACGTATAACTTAAATTAGCACAGCAACTGTACCATGCTCAAAGGCGCGTAACTGCAGTGAGCAAATTCCAACCAACGTTCAAAAACAAATGTTGGTTTTCTAGCAGAGCTGTATCATATAGTATACGTAATCTCTCACAACCAATGTCAGCAATTCTACACCGCAAATTAAGTAAAGCCTGTTACAAGTATACTTGTCACTAGAGAGTGAAAAAACAAGTAAAAGCCTGCCACTCTACAAGTAGACTGTGAACTGAATGCACAAAAGAGGATTTTTTAAATATTTTGACTGCATGCAAAACTGCTTTTGTAGAGTGTACACGCCTACTGTACACACCATTGCCATGCACACTTTACAAGTTGCAAACAAATAAAAAAAGGAATTTCCAATACACTGAAAGCACCCTACTAGCATATGCTCCAGCTTGTGATTGGTTTGTTACTGTAGGCATGTTGATAATATAGCTATGTTGCTTTTGCAATCGAAGCACAAAAAAATTCCAAGGTTCCAATAAATGGAACAAACCTCAACACCCAAATCTTTCTATTATTCGCTTCTATCGCATATGAGTGACTGCACAGACAATGCTACAAGCCAAATGTATGCATGCAAAAATAACCTGCCTTCCATGGTTGCCTGTGTGTTGAAAGTATTGATTGGGCTGCTGCCACCCTTTCCAGTTCCAGCATATAACATGCACACTAATTTTTCACTGTGAGCAACATTGTACTTCTTAAAGTTTGAACAGATGCTGAAATGAACAACGGTATGTTCAAAAACAATAAAAACAATACTAAGAAGAAGCCCACTCTTTTCCAATGCTGCATAATGCCGACATTTCTGTCCAGCTGTGCTCACACATTGTAGCAATTCTTTCTCTTCCAATACCTTTGTGGGCATTAATCGCTTAGCTCTGCTGACATTTGCAGGCTCGGTAAACCAAGTATTTTAGAAGCACAAAAGTGACACGTGTGAAGCAGCTTTAGTACAGCTCTTTCTAACTGTATGACGTTCTGAACTTGTATTAATAGAATAATTAGTACTTTGAAACGATGCCTTAAGTGTGCTGTTTGTAAGAGGCATGACAGTGAATTGCCATTGTGGACCATTGCAGTGCGGTGATGCCTTAACCTCATGTTCACGTGTTCGGAAGGGCTCTTTAATACATTTTGAAAACCAAGAAGCAACACGATGACAAAGAAGGAAGGACAGGTGCCTGTCCAGTTGTTTCTTCCTCTTTCGTCCTCGTGTTGCTGCGCTGCTTTTAAGATGAATACCAACGAATTTGCCCATATTTCCGTTCTCCTACACCCTCTGATGCACAATGAAGCAAGCATAAGATACTTCAATTAAAAAAACACCTAGAAATTATATCAAGCACACACATAACTTTAAAAACTCTGAAGTAAAAAGGCCATTATCTACATGTGGAAATTCGCAATGTTAAATAGCTTTCGAAAAACCACCGCAACAGGCCCAAGCCCTTGAACATGGTGCAAATGCATCCTCATTCACAAGCTTTTCACACCAGCTGGTTTCACAATAAAATCATATACCTATAACATCTCTCACAGCATAACAATAATGGTACAGCAGTTGCCAACAAATAAGTATGAACGTGCAAATGAAAGCCAGTTCATTGTAAGAGACTCATTATATGGAGCTGCCAACGTAGTGTTGAGAGGTTAACTTGATGTGGCTCGATAGTTAAGTTCAGGTGACCGAAAAACTAACAAGTGGAATCCACGTTGGGGTTCCGCACATTGTCTTGCTGCTGCCGTCCTCTGGGCCGTGAGCACTGGTGCTTGTGAAGGGAGACAGTGTTGTGGATGATGTGGCTGAAGACTGCGTTGTGATCCCCCAATGGTTCTCTCTAGGGAGGCGCTCCTCCGTTAGAGGTTTGGCAGTATGTCTGGGTGGACGTACTTCACCAAGTCATCTTGGCTGCCTATGAACACCACCTTTTTCGCTGTGACCTCGTTGAGCCTGAAAAGAGAACGAGAGTACCAAGATGGGTTTGTTGGTTCATCGTAAAAATGCACGCAAGCACACATAGAAGAGATCAGATTAGCTTGAAGGTTCCGTTCTATGTGCCATGAGTTGCAAAACAAGATGCCAAGTTGTCAGTGTCACGTGGTTTCGTGTGAGTATATACAGGCAGGAAAACCACTGGTCATTAAGCGTGGTGGTGGTAACTCACTGGTCAAGGGTAATTCACTGGATTTCAAGAGAAGGCAAACGCGTGAGAAGGGACAGAAAATTAAATGGGCAGATGAGGTTAATAAGTTTGCCGGTATAATGTGGCAGCAGAAAAACGCCAGGCCTGCGCGGAAGGCGCAGCACAGTCGCAGCGAAAGCTAGAAGAGCGGCCTTTCAGAGCCTTTTCTAAACACTCATTGGGTAACTGCTGCAAGCACACTTGCTTGATACCCACCCCGGCATTAATAATAAAATTTTTGTGTAGTAGGCTTGCATTCACTATGCTATTTTTCGTCATTCTTCTGAGAGGCGTGGTATCCGCTAAACACTTGCAAGGAATTTTGTGCCAATCATTCATGCAGTGGCTGATGGTGAGGAATTGTGCATGAAGTGGGTATGCGCCACAGTTAATAAATGAACAAGAACAGGATTTTGTAACGGGTTAGAGCATTGGACGACCCACTCGTTACGCTATTTGCATTGTGTGATGACTGGTTGTTCTTTCGCTATTTTGAAACGCTTTATAAGTCGTATTAACGAGATTGCTTTCCTGACATCAAGCCTGTCTAAGGAAAGTTTGCTAACAAGTCCGAAGCACCGGCGTGGGTTAGCGGTGTAATACTGGGCAGGCACCCAGTGGACCAGAGTTCAAGCTCCACTGTGTCATTGGTACTATTTTTTTTTTTTCGCACCATGTGGTTACTGACATTGGCGGCAGCGGACAACTACCGTAGTGTGTGGCCGGAGTTTTGATTTCGTAACAGCTTTTGCTGTAAAACACAGGACTGGGTTGATTGGCAGAACATGGGTGGAGCCCTTGCCCAGCAGTGGGCGTAGTTAGGCTGACGATGATGATGATCTTGACAGTAAAATTTTGTTGCTTAAAGCTAACGCTCGTGTTGCTTTGCTACTTCATCTTTGCCCTCGTGTGTTAGTTTTAGAACTTCCAACCAGGAATGATGTTTTTAGAGCAAGTACACATTCTACACTATTTATGAACTTTTGTTGCTACAGCCAGGAATCAAGTTGAATGGACGTAAGCTCCTCTACCTTGATTGTTGAGGACATTGATTGTTCAGAAGAAATAGTGCGTTTTCCTCTCTGCAATTCTTTTCGCTCCTTGCTGAATAGTACATGAAATACGCTAGACTTCTGTTGAACAAGTAATGATTTTGGACACAAAACTATCTCTACTAAAACCACCATCTACTCAAGAATTGCATGCGAGGTAGTATGGCACTTCGGCAGATAATGCAAAAAAAAAAAAACGATAAATAAACATTGAAATGGCAATCAGAAAAAAAAAGAACAGCATGTTTGAAAATTCATTTTTTTTTTAACTTTTTGTCTTTCAAGACTACAAGAAGCAGTACCGAGAGTAGATTTCCAAGCTCCAATGAAAAATGCACTAGGTTGTTTAAAAATATCCCAAACACTTGCAAGTCCTCCAAACAGCAACCGGAAAACTAATATATGCCATCAGTAATGTTGGCACACTTTCTATCTATGTCAAAAGTTTGACTTCGGCAAGATTACCGTACAAAATCTTTAGGCACAAACATCACAGGAGAGAGCTGATTATGACATCTGGTTTGAAAGGAAGCTATGATGTGACTCGCATGGCAACGGCTAACAAAAATTGAACCTCATGAGCCCCTGCCTGTCTTACTCGTTTGAACTGTAAATGTCAAGTGAAAGGTGGCAGTGTTTTTCTATAGGAAGTGTGCATGGTTCTGGTATCGCTTTCAAATGAATGTGCATGCACTGCTCAGCTGTAATGCTGGCGCACACGGGTAGAACCCTTGAACTTCTAGAATGCATCCTACATTAGATTGAGCAAAGCGTGACATGGTGTCCACGTGGCTTCATAATCGTTTTGCAGTCAAGCTAAGTATGAAGCCCTCCTGCCCGTTTTCATCCCTGCTAGACTTTTAAAAATGCATGATAAACTGGCTACGTTATATTTTTTTTACTATATAATGCTACCGACAATGATCTGTTGCAGGCCAACATGAACAGGTCTTGTTTGGAAGCACTCGTGACAACATTTGCAGGGGCTATGCCAATGCCTTAACAACTGACATTCTGCACCGTGCCTGGCATGCAACGGAGAACGAAATGTCGGGCCTCTGTCTTACTGCAACGTCAGCAATGTCCTTACCAGCCACGGATGACAGACCAGCACCCTGAGAAAATTGTAGGCGAGTTGAGGATGAGACAAATGCCCAGCCGCTCGGGGTAGTGCTTGCTGAGCAGCCAGATGAGGTTTTTGATAAGAGGATAGTCCATGCTGTTAAGGCCGAAATCCTTCAGGTCGAAGATGATGCACAAGTTGTCTACCACCTCCTCGAAGCACTTTTTGCATGCCTCCTCCTGCAGGCACAAAAAATCGCAAATGTGAGCTCCATAAAAGCTCATGACGATAGAACACTTCCATGATTGCTCCAAGCCAACAGAGCCTATTGGAGAGCAACTGCAACGAAATTTCACTTTGGCTGAATTCATTACGAGTGAGTAGACCATTAATACAATCTTGGCAAAGATGCAGCTCTAGAAACGGTACTGTTTATTTGTCAGCAGCATTCAAACAGCAGATGACCAGCATATCTAGAAGTTGTCGGTGGGTCAGGTCCAGGCACACCATCTCTTGGACAATTTTATTTCTCTTCCTCCTCATCTGTTCACTCGTGCTGAGGAGCCAAATATTCTAGGTGTTGTCCTCATCATGTATCACTTCCACGAGAGAAGCGATGGCGGTCTGTTATCCTTTTCTTCCCTGAAACGGCTCCACGTCTCGCGAGCTTGATATGATGCTTTAGTTAGCATTCGAGCATAACATCTTACAAGTATACTTCTGTATATATACTCTGTCTCAAATAAGCATTCTTATGTGGTTGCAGTTGAAATTTAACTTATGCAGCCGCAGTTGAAACTTTGACTTGCGTGAAACTGGCATACATCTTGTCCATCGTCACCATTCAATTTTCGTGCTTATTGCTGTTTAGCTCTTAAGCTTCCATAATGCAATTCAATTTCTATGCTCACTGCTGTACCGTGAAATTACAACCTACTAACTGTATTAGCTACTACTGTATATTGATGCCAGTGCAGGTCCTACAATTTCCATCGCAAAGAACAACAATAATAACTTGGAGGACCCTTGACCTTCAACTTCAAGAATAAAATGATAGTAAAATCAGGCCTTGTGCGCACATTGCCTGCTCAACTGCTGACGTGGCTTTGGTTCTCATGGATGCCCCAACCATGTTGCAAGAAAATGAACGTCTGTGCCATGAGCACTGGCAGTTTTAAACAATCCTAGGATGCCTACTGCTATGGTATTTGCGAAGTGCCCACTGCATCATAATTCTTTTTAGGAATCAACGAAGGGCTGATTCTGTAACGCACAACTCGAATATACGTAGCTGCTCACTTTGATGGTGCTTTTGCTGCTGCTGATGATTAAATATGTCTCAGTGCTTTGTGAAAACTTGTTGCACAATTCACATGTTTTGGCACCTGGTGCGATTCTAGACTTTTGCCGCGCAACATTACATGCGTTAAGGGGAATATTCTAAGTAAATGACATTCATATAGTGTCTTCTTTAAAGTAGTTCCAAGCATTGGCGTCTTTCTGTGGCAGAACACCGACTTGCCACGCAGAATGCCTCTGTTCAATTCTTACCAAACTGAAATCTTTTTTCATTTCATTCGCACCTTTCTCGATTTTCTGTTCACGGACAACACCGACTTTCACTTCCAAACAACATCGCTGACTCCGGAACTTCCGTGAAATTAGTTCTATAATGCCCGCGCATTCAAATTCAGGACTATATGACCAGCTTTAGAAACAATTTATTCTTACCAAGATGTACACGATGAACCGAGTCAGCTCATCGATCTCCCTCTCCTGAACGTTATGTCTGCAGGCAGGGATGTAGATGACGGGCCTGTGATCAGAAAAAAAAAAAGGCAGTTAAACCTTTTCCAGTCGCACTAGTTCTCGTAACACAACATCGGATCTTTATCTTGAGATCATTCAGATATGTGAGTGCACGAAAAGGCTACGCTGCAAAGTTGGGGACGAAAAACTGGACTGGCACAGAGACTGGCACAGTCCAGTTTTTCCTCAACCTCAACAGTCCAGTTTTTAGTCCAGTTTTAGTCCAACAGTCCAGTTTTTTTCCTCAACAGTCCAGTTTTTAGTCCTCAACTTTGCAGCGCAGCCTTTTCCTGCAGTATTTTCCAACTAGCCCCCCACACAAGCTTTTCTAAATATGTGACAACTGAACTCCTCTGGCAATGTGTCATAGATTTTTTATAACATGCCAAAACAAACACCTTACAGATTGCTCCAATTGTAAGCTTCAAATTTTTAACCAGTTTCAATTTACATCCACTCTTGATGCGTTTCAGAATCTTTCACACCACGCATATATGCTAGTGTGCAGCGTGTGAGGGCGAAGATTCATCTGAGTGCCCATTGCCTCTGTTAAGTCAAAGTACGAGGCAGACTTGCCGCCCCTTCTCCCCCTCCCTCTTGTGCAGACAACTATGAGTTCAAGTATTCCACAGCCCATCAAGAGGGTGTTATTTATGTCAGTGTACACTTCACCCTCCTTAATTTCTAATGTTGAAAGGTAAAAAGATAACAAAATGTGTTGTTTCAGAGCTTCTTGGCACATCTGCATTAATATGGCACCTACGCATAACTTTCCGTATTAAGTTTTCCAAAAGTTTCGGGACAAAGTAACAATATCGATTGTGTTCTGTGCAACCTTTAATAGTTCACTACAGATGCACAACCTCCAATAAAGGGAGCAGATTTACTTCTCCCGTCAAGATGTGTTTGCAAACATATTGACGTAGTTGCGCACCTGCCATAGAAGTCCCGATTGGGCAGAACCATGGCCTTCTTTGCTTCGATGTTCCTTTTGATATCCGGATCATTGGCACTGATCGACTTGACGCCGTATTCCGTACGCCACTTGTTGCACTTGAGGATTGCCTGGAACGCAGCGTCGACGGTTCGGAAGGCTCTCAGGAACCTTTTGATGGAGTAGTCATTGTGAAACTGCATGGCAATGCAGACGATATCAATTGTAAGACCTCAAGTACACTTCCATACTAACCATGGCGAAGTATTACAGTGAAGCCGTGCTCTAACACGACACTATAAAAGGTAGCAAGAACACGATACTGAAAACTAAAGTATCTCAACCACAACTACGGCCTTTTGTGTCTTCTGTAATTTGTCTGTTGCCTAGACTGCGACGAGCTCTTCGTCGTTTTTCATTTATTTATTTTTTTGTACGACAATGTTACCACATGTAACAGCAATTGTAGCCTACAACTACAAAAGAAAAATGTTCAGCCAAATTTAGCAGCAGTCTGGCAACAACCACCCCTTCCAGTCTGACAACCACTTATGCAACGCCAAAAGGAACCTTGCCGGAATACGGCTTTAAAATTGTTTCGCCTCAGTGAATGGCATAAATGCGTGCGTCACCGCAAAAACGAAACCATCATGAATTGCGCTTACCTGATCCGGGTCTGCATCAAATATCATCTGAAACGACACAAAACGATCATATTGAGTCGCCGATCGCTGGTAATTGGGTGTGATAACGACATGTCACTTAAAACGTCTTTACGGTATTGACACAACAATTAAGCGCCGTATGCAAGAATATTAGCCGGCGCCTGACGGCTCTTCAATGAAAGTCGACGATACAAGACGTTGAACTCACTTGTAGTCGTTTCTTGAGCTCCTCGAAATCCTCCTCCGACACAGGCGACGGTGTTGAATCATAGTCTGCCATTGCTGTTGACAGAACGATATCAAATGTCAAATGCTGCAGCGCCAAACCGAAAGCAAGGACACGCAAGCTTAATCTACTAATTTTCCACTCTTTATAACGCGGCTCGCCGAAGATAAGATATGACACGCCAATGGGTGTATCGTCGCTCGCTGTATCAGCGGCTTTAGAACAAATTAGAGCGGCAGTAACGTCACAGAAGGCTCAATATGAGGATGAAGCAACAAGTTAGAATACGCCGAAGCAGCGGGCCGTCCGTACCAACGCTTTATCGGTGTTTGACGGCGCACGAACACATCGTCATTTTTTTTCACGGCATTCAACCCCCAGGAACCTCTACCTAAGCCAGGGAACTAACCACATCGAAGATTTATCAATGAAAAGACCAAACGTATGGCTTGACCAAGGCGTGGGTAACGGTGAAGCGAGGCAAGACCGAAAGCAAGAACCTGTGTTTCACGAAGTGGACCAGCTGTTTTCGGCTTTCCGGTGTGACTGACGATGAGCGTGTCCAGTGAACGGGGCCCTAATTACGTGGTGCACGCACTTATCATCGTCCAGACTGATAGAAAACACAAGAGGAATTTAGACGTTCAACCGCGCTCGGACGGCCGCCGCTGCTCGCCAGATGTCGCTAGCGGTTTCTTGGGGGTGCGTTTCCGTGTTCCGCGAACACGTAAAATCTAAACGGGTTTTTTCGGATACCGTCAACGTCATCATAAATTGAAAAAAAAAAGTGAGCACGTAATGATCTTTTAGAATGCAAGGCCATCTCGTTCAATTGTAATAACGTTAAAACGCGTACCGCTTTTACTAGTGCGCGAAATCATTCTTAATTGTGCGAATCGCTAGCGTTAGGTGAGCAGCAACGCATGTCGGGAGGCTAAACGAAGCGCGAATATTCAAAAATGTATCGCCGGCGGGACCGGAGCATACCGAAGAGTAACGGGCGCACTGGGGGAGGGAGGATGGTATTACACCTAAAGCATCCTCCCACGCGCGCAGTGCACTATTGAAGAGAGGGGAAGAAGAGGTCCGAATTTGGTCTTGTAGCTCGCCAACGGAATGTTTATAAACAGCGTCGGCTTACCGTGTGGTAAGTACCGTACTTTGCCGTCGACACGTCACTATTTTAACCTGCAGGACCTCTATCTACTGATTTGATCATATAATAACGTTATTGTACGCAATGAGAAACTCGTGCGGCTGTAATGTTGAAAAAGAAGTGTGCACGACGGTACGATATTTCCGTGAACTGACAAAGCTAAAACACTCTCCCGAAAACGTCGTAAGTAAACTCGTCGTAAGTAAAGTCCGCAGATGGTACCGCAAGCGGAACTGTATCAATGTGATGTGAAAGTGCTTGCTGGCGGAAATCAATTGCCTGTAGATCACGTATGTAATGCAGCGCAAGTGCAGTAAGATGTGTAAGTTCTAATCCGTATTTCCCTCGAAATAAACTTTGCAGTTTTTGACATTGAGTTTCTCTGAGTAGTGGTGAGTCGTGGATTCTCTGCCACCCGACGGTAGCAACTTTCTGCCGGGCCCTTGGGCCCTTCTCGGTACGCATGCCAATGTCCATGACTAGTTCTTACGTTCTTCCTGGCGAGAACATGTCGCGGGACTAGTTTAGTAATGTTATGTGAGTTTGGTCACGTGATTAGCTGTTACGATGTTCCTGGCAGGATTATGTCGCGTGGCCAACTGTTACATGGTATGGGGAAAATATCACGTGACTAGCTATTACGGGATGTCATCTAGTTATGTGATGATTTTAGTCACGTGACTAGATATTACATGGTTAATGGCGGGAACAATATCCACGCGACCAGCTGTTATGTGAAGTTATCTGATATAGGGTAACATCACGCAACTGACGCAATTTATAGTAACGTGATGTTACGTGATTTTTAGAGTCGTGACTGGTTGTTAGGTAACGTTTCATTGATTAGAGTCACGTGACTGTGTTTCACGTGACACACACGTACATGCTACGGGGTCACTTGACTGGATGTTGCGTGACGACAGTTGCTTGATATCACGTGTTTCAGGCACGCGTCTATTTGTTACGTGATGACGTCACTTGATGTTTAGTGGCATAACAGTCTTGCAGATTATAGTTGCATTCCACGCCGGACGAATGGGCGTACGTGTTGGGGGGGGGGGGGGAGCATAAGATGACGAGGACGAAGCAAGCGTGCACCGTTTCATGATGATGATAATACCTGTTTGCACTACCCTGTGCAAAAAAAAAAAAAAAGCTTGAAGAGCTGCGTTCTTAAAAATTTCCTCAGGGCGAGATTCGAACCTGCGCACACACTGTCCGAAGGCGAGTGGCTAGCAAAGCACAGCAATGTATAACAAGAGGCGGGAAATGCAAGTGAAGGAGAGAGGACAGATGCAAAAGTGAGAAAGAAAGATTAAGACATACTATAGGAAGAAAGAGAATTGGAGAAATAGAAATAAGGTAAGGCAGAAACAATAAGATGGGAAGAAAGAGAGAGAATCAAAGAAAGACAGGGAAAGGGAAAGAAGTTGAAACGAAGCGAGAGAATGAAGTAGGGAGGTGATGATGGGGAAGAGAGGAAGGCCACCAGCTCCGCTACTGCATCAGTATTCGCACGACTAGCGCGCAGAGCTGCCCTGCTATTTTGTTGATTGATTGATATGTGGGGTTTAACGTCCCAAAACCACTATATGATTATGAGAGATGCCGTAGTGGAGGGCTCCGGAAATTTAGACCACCTGGGGTTCTTTAACGTGCACCCAAATCTGAGCACACGGGCCTACAACATTTCCGCCTCCATCGGAAATGCAGCCGCCGCAGCCGGGATTCGAACCCGCGACCTGCGGGTCAGCAGCCGAGTACCTTAGCCACTAGACCACCGCGGCGGGGCGCCCTGCTATTTTGTTTCTCCTTTGAACAGCAGCGACAGCAAATAAACTGAAAAGAGCGGTCTGAAAACATGACTTTTCTGATTATTCACTGACGTCGTGCATGGTGCCTTTATTATTATTATTATTATTATTATTATTATTATTATTATTATTATTATTATTATTATTATTATTATTATTGTTGTTGTGTTGTTGTGTTGTTGTTGTTGTTGTTGTTGTTGTTGTTGTTGTTGTTGTTGTTGTTGTTGTTGTTGTTATTACTTGTAGTAGTAGTAGTAGTAGTACTTCTGTACTTTTTTTGCGTTGAACCTGATGGAAGTTAAAAGGATCTTATCAAGGACCTCGACCTGAAGCACTCGCTATGAGCTGAAGGAAACTTGTTGCTCTTTGATTTAAAAAATAAAATAAAATACCCTTTTGGGATGTCGTGCTTCAAGGTCGGAAAGAGTTATCCTTTCTGCTGCAACAAGGGTTCGGTAAAAAGACTGCGGTATTATCGATAGCACAGTTCTCTCACACGGGGACCGGCCTTTTTTCCAGAGTGAAGTTTGCAGCTACATCTTTTGGATTTGTACATGTCCTTTCCGAAAAAGAAAGTGGAGCAGGAGAGGAGGGGTGGTGAAGCGGGTACATCTATACGTATTATTTTTTTGTAAGACTATAGGCCCGTGTGCTCCGACGTGGTGGTCTAGTGGCTAACGTACTCGGCTGCTGACCCGCAGGTCTTGGGACTGAATCCCGGCTGCGGCGGCTGTATTTCCGAGAGAGGCGAAAGCGCTGTAGACCCGTGTGCTCAGATTTGGGTGCACGTTGAAGAACCCCAGGTGGTCGAAATTTCTGGAACCCTGCACTACGGCGTCTCTCGTAATCACATGTAGGTTTTGGGCCGTTAAACCCTACACATCATCAACGAATATGGGCCCGTTTGCCTTTTAAATTGTGAACTACGTAAGTTGTATAAGTTCTTTGATTACAGGTAATTTCCGTGCATGCATTTTTGGTTTTCACGGGGGTTGAAATTTCCCTTAATAAACTGCAGGTGTTAGACAGCGCCTGTTTGTGTTCTCTTCGTTGTGTTTCGTCTCATTCGCGCTGTAAGGTTTACGAGAATGCATCTGTTCCAACTTGCCCACCTCTCTATTTTACTTTACCACTTTACTATAGGGAAGAACGCGCGTCGCCATGCGTACAAAGATAGGCGTCGTATACCCCCCCCCCCCCCCCCTTCGCAAAAAAAACAAAAAGGAGTAAAGTGTACAGCTACTAAAACAAAGGCAACAAAAACTACAGGCAAAGAAAAGAACCACAAGCAGTCCGCATTTATCGCGGCATTCGAAGCACATCTTCGCTCCGATTTGGGTCAAGTGCCATTTCGCGCGCTTCTTGGCAGTGCAACGTCGTTCAGTGGGAAAGCAATCTGTACAGTCTTGGAGCGGCGTTTTCTCGGCCACTAAAACAACTGCGTGGTCTTCACGCTTACAAAGAAGCGTTAAGGCGAGCACACCGTAAGCTCGCGAATCTTTTCGGTCGTTTTTATAACCCTGAATACCTTTCTCCCTCTCTTTCTCTGTCTCCGTGTGGTCATGGAGCAGTTAGGCACTTTGAGTGGGCTTATAGATGGCGTACTTATGAGAAAGGCGAAAGGCTGCTTGCATGTTCTGCCTATACTAACATCAGCATTTCGCGAACGTTTGATTTTGTTTCGTTCCATTTTCTTCTCGTACCTTTGAACGAACCATTAGACTCTATTTTATTTATTTATACATTTATTTAAACTCTATATGATTCGGTTAAAATGTAGATATAATAATGTAGATGAAGACGGTCGAAAAGGCAGCTTGCCGCGATGAGAGCCTGTGGTAGAGCATGCCCGTTGGGATTCCTGGATTCGTTTTTGTGTACAAGATGGCTTGTAGCCAGCGTGGTGCCTATAGGTTGACCCTTGATCCTAAGGCTGGTGCTCTGTGTGATGTGCTATCCTTTTGTCTCTGTCCTCTCAATCTTTCAATCTCCCCATCCCGTTCCCACGTGTAGGGTAGTGAACCGGTCATCCTCGACTGGTTGACCGCCCTACCTTTCCTTCTTTAGTATTGTGACGGGGCGAGGTCTAGGCTTATGGGATAGCGTCCGCCGAGAATCGGCAGTCGAACAAGATGTCTGAGTTGCCTCTCGCGCAAGCGCCTAGCACACAGGCGTCTTCTTCATCTTCGCAAAGTGCCACGCTTGCTCCTGTCGATGATGCACCGTAACATCACTCCCCTGCGGCGGAAGCGCCGTCATGGCGCTTAGTACGGCGGCGACAAACGAGGAGGGTGATACGGTTTGAGTCTGGCAACGTGTACAACGTCTGTCTGGAGTGAGGGGGTCGAAGAGGCATTGTTTAGGGGTGCGATCTCGTAGCTCACGTCACTAAGTTGTCGTAACACTTTGTAAGGGCCATGGTAGTGTGATAGTAGCTCCTCTGATAAGCCGACTTGGCGGTTTGGTGTCCAGAGAAGCACCAGAGACCCCGGCGAGAAGTGCACGCTTTGGTGGCGACTGTCGTAGCGGTCTTTTTGGTGCGCTTGCGACAAGTGCAGCCGATCACGGGCAAGCTGACGGGCTGCATGGGCTCGAGAAACGACATCGCTGGCGTACTCAGTAGACAAGAAGGCAGCCGAAGGAAGGAGCGTGTCAAATGGTAATGCTGGATGTCGGCCAAATAGCAAATAAAACGGCGAATAACTAGCTGTGTCGT